TATTTTTCTCATTTTTTGTTCTTAAGTGCCAATAAGCAATGACCTAGTAAAATACGCATTGAAAAGTATAATTTGTCCAACTTTGAAATATTGGTATACCTTTTATTATAAATAGCTTTAACATATTAAAGAAAATAGCAAGTTTAAAGAAGGTCAGAATCTTCTTGATTTTTACAGAAAGTTTCTTTTAACTTAATTTTAGCTAACCAGCTAGAAAAACAAGGACATTATATTGCTACGACTCTCAGCCTATTGACAATGAGGTTTCACTGTGTAGTTTTAAAAGTCAACCGAGTACTAATAAGTTCCAATGTTCTCTAAAAAAATTTAAAAACAGTTGTTTGCAAAAATTTGGCTTTTCCCTATTTTGAAACATAATTCATGCTATATTGTGAGAGAATTGTGGTTAATATTATAAACTGATAATATCACCCTTGTTTCAATACCCTAAAATACATAAAGTTAAGGGCTAGCACAGGAAAGTATTACTCAAAACACAAATAAAGTTCGCATTCTAATTATACTAAACATACGTAAGTTATTTTTAATTTATGCAAACTGTTAAAATCTTTCAACAATTATGTTATCTTAATTAAGTTATTTTAAGTTAACTTTTGTTTTATAAATAAAAGAAAGTCATTTTCAACTTATAGTAGCTTTTTTCAGGTTTTTGTTGGCTAGTCTGCATTTTACACATTTCATTCGACAAATTTTGAGTTAAGAAGACTTTTTCTTTTTAAGAAACCAGTCTTTTAATAGATATACTCTTCCTTATTTTAAAGATAAGATTGTCCCTATGTACATGCATATGTATTTGCTGAAAAAGAATTTATTTTTATTATTATTTATTTATTTTCTTTATTGTTCTTTTTTTTTTTTTTTCATTATATCAATGTCTATTATCTCTAAAAATAGTTCTTCATTAGAACTCTCAAATGAAATCATTTTAACTAAAATAAAATTCTAAATGACCTGAAGCTTGACATAAACCGAGAGGGAAGAGAGACAAAAAGTACATTAAAAAAAAAATTGAAGTCGATAGCACTATGAGTTCATAAGATGTTTGTGTTTCTAAGGTTGAAACATTAGCTCAATTTTAACTTTTTTATAGTTTAGGTCATGATTAGTTGTGAAAGACACAATGTAGTTGTGAAAGACACAATGTAGTTGTGAAAGACACAATGTAGTTGTGAAAGACACAATGTAGTTGTGAAAGACACAATGTAGTTGTGAAAGACACAATGTAGTTGTGAAAGACACAATGTAGTTGTGAAAGACACAATGTAGTTGTGAAAGACACAATGTAGTTGTGAAAGACACAATGTAGTTGTGAAAGACACAATGTAGTTGTGAAAGACACAATGTAGTTGTGAAAGACACAATGTAGTTGTGAAAGACACAATGTAGTTGTGAAAGACACAATGTAGTTGTGAAAGACACAATGTAGTTGTGAAAGACACAATGTAGTTGTGAAAGACACAATGTAGTTGTGAAAGACACAATGTAGTTGTGAAAGACACAATGTAGTTGTGAAAGACACAATGTAGTCGTGAAAGACACAATGTAGTTGTGAAAGACACAATGTAGTTGTGAAAGACACAATGTAGTTGTGAAAGACACAATGTAGTTGTGAAAGACACAATGTAGTTGTGAAAGACACAATGTAGTTGTGAAAGACACAATGTAGTCGTGAAAGACACAATGTAGTTGTGAAAGACACAATGTAGTTGTGAAAGACACAATGTAGTTGTGAAAGACACAATGTAGTTGTGAAAGACACAATGTAGTCGTGAAAGACACAATGTAGTTGTGAAAGACACAATGTAGTCGTGAAAGACACAATGTAGTTGTGAAAGACACAATGTAGTTGTGAAAGACACAATGTAGTTGTGAAAGACACAATGTAGTTGTGAAAGACACAATGTAGTTGTGAAAGACACAATGTAGTTGTGAAAGACACAATGTAGTTGTGAAAGACACAATGTAGTTGTGAAAGACACAATGTAGTTGTGAAAGTAGAGCTAAAACAGGAAAAAATATTGAATAATAATTTTAACTTTAGTGGAACTAGAAAACTGATATACAACTCTCAGCATCTATTGATGCTAAATGTGCTATAAAAAATGATAATAAAAAAAAACTTTTTATTTGAAAAATACAAACAACTTCAAAAATATTTATGATAAAAAATTATTTATTGTTATTTAAAAAAAAAAAAACTTATTTGATCTTTAAAAAAAAAACTTAGAGGTGTGTGTGTGTTTTTTTGCAAATGGCTCCTTCCCCCAAAATAAACATGCGTACCTGTTTATTATAGCTATGAGTATTTTTAATATAGTATTTGGAAGTTTTGATAAAGTACCCCTAATTTTAGGCAATATTTTTGTGTTGAAAACAAATCCTCCTCCCTCATTAGAAAAAATATTATGAGTGCCTATGATACAAAGTTGTGTTTCTCTGAACTAAAGATCAAAATTATATGAAATTTTGAAAATTTTTTATATAAATTTTTCAAAAATGATAATCGTTTTGTGCAGATATTTAGAAAATAATTTTGGCTACCTTTTTGTATGTAACCGTCAAAATTATTATTTTAATTTAACATATATCATGAGGTTTTCATATCCATTTCAAACTTTCATTTTTTTTTCTTTTATTGACAAGCTTGTAAGTCTGTCAATAAAAGAAAAAAAAATGAAAGAATGAAAAAAAAATTAAGAATGAAAAAAAAGTTAATCTTTTATGCAACTATCATGATTATTATAAAAATGTCATATGATATATATATAATATATGATTTATATACGATTTATATATTGTCGTATAATATATATATATAATAAAAATGTCACATAATAAAAATGTCAAGTGTTCATAATCACAAATGATTAAAATATATAACTCGCATAACTAAAGAAAAAATCTATTATTTACTTATTTTATATAGTTACAATATCTATAGTTATAGTATCTAATAATCTTAAAGTGAAGTTACAAGCTGAGCAAGCAGCTTCAGCTGCAGCTAGATATAGAGTGCTAGGCAAAATTAAAAAAGGATTCAGAAGCCGTGGTTTAACTCTTTAGCGTTTCCTATATACTACCATATCCGACCATTATTAGAACTTGTGGTCTCAACTTGATCTCCTCATTTCATAAGAGATATAAATACAATACAGCATTATAAAATAAACAATGGAGCTGATTCAATCAATTTTGTGGCGAAACAAACCACACCGGCGTATCAAAGATCAAAGTATAGTTTAAGGACCGGGAGCCATGCCTTTGAACTAGCCGTCGAAAAAATTTTGAAACATTTTGAAAGACGTAATTTTTATACTAATCGAATTCCTTATCAATACCACAGTAAACGCACCATCACTCAACTATTTTAATTGCAGGCTTTAATAGTACATTTTATTAACGCTTTTCAATTTTGCTGGTACAGTTATAATTGCAAATGTTGTCAGAAAAGAGGGGTCCTTCTCTGCCTCTCTCCGTTAATAATTAGAATATGCATTTTAGATAAATTTTTACCACGAACTATTTTTACTGTGCATGATCTCAATAAATTTGTAAATGATAATTATTGATGACCAAATAAATAGATATAAATATAAATTAAAAAAAAAAAACTTTTAGGAAGGTTATCCACGCGGGCGCACGGGCGGATAATGAGGTGGGGGGGGGGAAGTCTTGTGTTTCCATGTTTTCTTGCTAGACACGCCACTGGTTCTAGGTATTTTTAGTTAAAAATGCTAAGTCTCAAAGTTTTAGTGTTGGTTCTTTTGTATGAAGAACATTAAACCGTTAATATTTTTAACAAATGTTATTATTATAAAGCACCGGAGACGCTTTTCTAAAGCCCTTGAATTTTGTTTAATGTTCCACATATTTATAGTGTAAAATCACACAGTTCATGTGAAGAAACAATCCAATCAGTGTTAACTAAATCATGAACATTTATTTTTGCAAATAACAACATCGAAATAATAATAATAGTATTCATTATAAAGACACTTGTACTCATTAAACACAAAAAGTTCATTATAATATGTACTTATTTGAAGTAATTACATAATTTTTTTAAATTTAGTCATTTCAGAAAAGTACATATTACTAGGAATACTTATGCAAAGTATTCATTAAAAAAAATATTTGTATTTTTAAACATAAAGCATATTTATTGTTGTTATTGATATTATTGTTGTTGTTTTTGTTTTTAATATTCTTTTTTTTTTCTTTTTATGTACTTTTATAAAATTAACTTTAATTTTAATAATTAACTTATTAATTAACTTAAATGGTAATTAAAAAAAACTTATTATAATTAGCTATTGTCAATACTTAATTACCATAATTTTTTTGTTATAGAAAAAATAAGTACTTGAAGTTATAAAGTGATATTTATAGTATTCAAATAAATTTTACCAAGATAAGATTTAACCAATACCAAGGATAAGATTTAACCATTACAAAATTTCAAGGATAACATAAAGTCAATTTACTCTCTGTCAAAATGATAAGCTTAGCATAATGTTAGGAAATTTTGTGCACAACTTTTATGCATCTGGTTTTTAATTCTTTTAAACTATAGAGGCAAAACAAACTTAAATATTATATATGTATTAAATGTAATAATAATGTTAATGTTAGATTATCTATAGCAAAGTTAAGGTTTTTTGTAATAATTTCTTTTTATATTAGAAAAGATGAGTTTATAATTGTATAGATAATAAAATGTTATGAGACCAAATAGTTTATTTATTATATATATATTTTAAATTTATTAACTTATTGCTGTTTATTTTATGTTGCAATGGTATTAAATTAAAAAGTTTTATAATCTATAAAGGTCAATAAATTGGTAAGTAACTAAATGTTTAAACGGTTTCAATCCTCTTCCTATTAAACCCACTGCGTTTATTTGTATAATTATTCCATAACCCATTTTTTTAATTCAGCACTATATGTATAAGGAATTTTTCTTTTTTTCTAGATAAAGGTAATAATAAGTTTGCTATTTGATATGCGAATAAAAGATAATGCTACAGTCTTTAGCTGTGTGGTTATTAAAAACATATGTTGGTGAATATATTGAAAACCTTAATCCAGATCAATTAACAATTGGATATGGTAAGAATTTCATTTTTATTTACTTTTTAATTAAAATATAATAATGACTTACAATGAAATACTTGTCCATACTAACTATGGTACATAGTGGTTTATTTTATTATTATTATTATTATTACTATTGCTATTATTGTTATTATTATTATTATTATTATTATTATTATTATTATTATTATTATTATTATTATTATATATATATATATATATATTTATATATATACATATATATATATATCTATATATATATCTATATCTATATCTATATCTATATCTATATCTATATATATATATATATATATATATATATATATATATATATATATATATATATATATATATATATATATATATATATATATATATATATATATATATATATGTATATATATATATATATATATATATATATATATATATATATATATATATATATATGTATATATTTTTTTTTACACTTTCGAAACCACTGTGCCTTGTTCTGTTAGGGCCTAGATTTTGAAAATATTTTGTCAATGTCTTTCAAAAAAAAAAGGGGTTTAAACAGGCAGGTCATGATTTTTTGGTGTTCAAAATAGGTAACTTCCAGAGATGGTGCAAACTTAAAATTTTGTAATATTAATACTAGTATTAAATAAAAATGTGTTAAAAGTTATTACAATGATAGGAGCCTGGGAACAATATTCACCTGATAAATCAGGATCCACTGTCCCAAATGTGGAAACAACAAAAAATTTTTTTTTCTTTACTTTTTAAATGTTTAGTTATGTTTTTTATTCGTTTAGTATAGACAAAATGTGTCAAACGTCGAGAAAATAAGCAAATGTTTTTACATTTTAAAAAACGAAACATTCCAAAACATTTTTAAATAATAACATTTCAATGTCTTTCAAAAGTATCTTAAAATAGATTGAAGTTCATTAGGAAAATTAATTTATCTTCAAAAAATTTCTTATCGTTTAAAAATGACTACCAAGGAAAGTTTGAAACCTCCACTATTTGAGGGGGTTGTCAACTTTACAAGGTCATAACTTTAGAACATTGAAATAGTTTTTTACTAAATGAGAAATTAATTGATGAATTTTATTTGAGTTCATAATGATAGAGTTTAAGTGCTATTATTTCCCCCTTTCTTAACATATGCTTGGACCTTTAGGGCCCAAATTTTATGGGAAATTTTAAACAATATGGTTATTATGGTAAAAATTTTCCATTACAAGTTAAATCTATAAACAACATTCCTCGCTTTTGTGTACTTCCTTGTGGTATACCACAAAAAAAAATTTATTAACAGATTCTGTAAACTTTTTTTATTAAAATTTTTAAAAAATTGATTAGTATTGCTCATATCTTTTTAAAATGCCAAACATTAAAAACTCTCAAAGTTTTAGTCGACCTTATTTATTTTTTAAAAGGTTCAGGAATGATAAAAATTAAAGAAGGAAGCGTGATATTGAACCGAGAACATGTTTTTTTTTTTAAATCATTTGATTCGAACAATGAAAACTTTCCTAATGGCATTTGTACTAAATGTAGAAAAACATTAGAAAGACTTAAAAAAGGAGTTAAAAACATTATTCTGAGTAAACGGTATGAATTCTCAAAAGTCAAAGTAAGTATACTTATCAGAAACCAATCATTCTGTATTTGTGACATTTGTGAAATTGCTCGAACTACAATTACTTCAAGATCAACATCTGAAAATAGTGGAGAATCGAGTTGGGAAAAGTAAAGGCATCATCGCCTGTAAAATTAAAAATATGTCATTGGATTGGAAGGGTTGTCATTGGAAGAAGATTTAAATTTTGAACCTTTAAATTTTGATTTAATATTTTAAACTTGAAATGAAGAAGTTTATATAAAATATTTGAAATATAAAAACTGAAAACATGAAAGTAAGTTTCTTTTGATATTAAGAAAAGGTGCTGAAATTCAATGCTCAAAAGTTATGATAAGAAAAGTTGAGGAGGAGGGAGATAAAATTAAGATTGCAGCCAAAGGTAAAGCTATTGTCGTTGAACAAACAAAAAGCTGCTCAAAAGCGCCTTTTTTAGTTGAAAAAAATCCTAATTTTGGAAATAAACAAATTTAAAAATACTTGTAGACTTAGTAATACACAGGAAGCCAAAGGTCTTTGTATATTTAGAAGCTGGAAGAAAAGAAAATTATTTGAAAGCAAAGTAAGAGAGAAATTTAGTAAATAATAATTTTAATTTTAAAGAAATGATTTTGGAAAAAGATTCCAGACAGTTGGTTTATTGTAAAAACATTAAAAGAAATGTTGAGTTTATTAAAATATTATAGAAAAAGTGACAAAAAGTAATTTCGAAAACAAAGTTTAGCTTTGAGAAAGGAATAGGTGAATAAAAATACAAAGATGGCATAACAGGCCTTGTGATGAATAAAAACTGCGCGACGCATAAGCACAACGTGATTTTTGACGTCATTAAATTCTTTTTATTTGCTTTTCATATTTATCGACATTAACTGCACCAATTTACTTAATTACCGCAAAACTACTTTAAATCATTAATGTAGAAATGTTATTATTTAAAAATGTTTTGGAATGTTTCGTTTTTTAAAATGTAAAAACATTTGCTTATTTTCTCGACGTTTGACACATTTTGTCTATACTAAACGAATAAAAAACATAACTAAACATTTAAAAAAGATTATTAAATATGCTAATATTTGATTTTTTTTTCAAATAAGTAATTTAAAGTTAATAAACTGGAAATTTTAATATTGTACGGTTAAAAACTGTGCAATAGCTAATATTTTTACTAGCGATTTTATATATTTTTTTATTTATTTGTTTTTATTTATTTTCATAAAGCGGTTGATAAGCACAATCACTCGTATTACTAAAAAATTTTAACGAACGTTTTAAATAGATTTTTAATTTTTACAAGGAATTTTATTTTTGGTAAAATAAAATAAAATGTTAGAATAAAAATCTTATAGGTATAAGACATATTTCAGCGAAAAAATTATTCTTAATAAAAAGTTATTTGAAAAACTATTGACGTTCTATTTTTCAGCAGCTGTTCTTGAGCATGCTTCGTTGAGTTTCGGTATTTTCTAACAAAAAAGCGATTGTTATTATTGAGTTACTTTTTACAGAAATTTTAATAGCTGTACTTTTTTATTGAATCAAGTAGAATACGTTTTAATATTACTTTAGATTTTTATTTGCATTACCAATTTTTAAAATATTTCCTGAAAATTACTCTTAAATACTTTAAATACGTCTAACAGTTAATAAATATTTTTAAATCTATGGAATAATTTTAAAACCTAACAAACTCCCGTAAAATAATTATTTAAGTTAAAAATCTAAAACTAAAAGAAAGTATTTTTGTTCAATTTTATAGACAACTTTGCTATTGCTGAATAATTTTATTAAAATGTTAGCTTAAAAAGATTTCAACTTTTTTTTAATCTGACTTTTTTCTACTTGTAAATAAGGAGCATATTTAATTTTTTTGTAATTTAAACTTTAATATTTTTTTTATGCGGTTTTTAAAATACTTTATTAAATGTTGAAATAATCGTAAATTACTTCATTAAAATTCCGCTCAAAAATATCTTTAAATATACTCAAACAAAAAATTTTTTGCTCGACACAAATAGCCCTAGCTACGCGCAAAATCACTCTTGGACGACGTAAAATTCACATCGCCCGACGCTTTATCACAAGGCCTGGCATAAGCAAATTGTTTATTATTGGCATAAAATAGAAAACGTGGCTGAATCTCATTCAAATCTTGAGAAAATTATCACTATTTTAAAGCTAAATAGTTTAAAATACTTTTTGTGCATTTGATATGAAATTGGCTAATATTTTTCGAAAAGTGCAGCATCAACACATCCTTGCCTTTGGTTTACCATTAGCAAGGAAATAATGCAAGATTTTGAAAATTATGGTGAGCTCAGAACTCGAGGAACTATCCGTTCTTTAGTTCTTTAATGCTTACAAAACCTTCTGTAAAGATTTTTTTTAAAATCCAAGCTTTCAGCTGTATCTTATATTGATTGCCTTAGCCTTCCACCGGATGATCTGCCTGATGACATAAAAGTTATTGAAATTCTTGCTTTAATGAAACATCATTTACTTTGTGGAAATGCAAATAGATTTTATGATAATCTTGAAGAACATTTGCAACTACACTACCTTATCGGTAAACCAGTGGAACCAAATTTTAGTTTTTCGAAGGCCTAAGCTGCATAATGGTCATTTTAAAGTTGGAGATGATTCATGTGTTAGAAGAATTAATAAAATATTCCAAACTAGAAAGAGATGAACATATTTTTATAGTTAATTCCTTTAAATATTTAAGATCTACTAAAGTTGCATGTCTTGATTTAGTTTGTTACCTGAATATGAGTCAACTTTTAACAAATACAAAGATGCTTATGTTAAATTTGGTCTATGAGTCTCATTGAAAATGCATCCTCTTATCAAGCATACATGTAACTTTCTTTCACTTATGTAAAATTCCAATCCAAATAAAGGATTAAGTATTTGGTCTGAACAGACCTCTGAATCTGTTCATTATGATTTTTAAACAGTTTTAGGAGAGTGGATACAAAGTTTCTAGTAGAATTAAAGACTATCCACAAAGCCTGCTTAAAGACACTGTTATGTGCAACTACCGACATACCTTATTTAACAGTTTTACTTTTAAATTAAATATCTTATGATATATATGTGTATCTTTTATAAACTTTTATTGTTTGTAAATGAAAATAAGTATAAAAAAAAGCATTAATATGTGTCATTTAAACCATTTTCTAATTAAAAAACAACTGAATATATAGTAAAAGATCAATTTCAAGATTTTTTATTATTTAAGATAAGTAACCTACAGATATGCATTTTCACATTAATACAATTAATATGTTAAAAAAAAAATCATGGTGATCAGAGTTTGGGAACAATGTTATCCTCAAATTAGGGCCCTAAAGTCTGAATATTTTTTAGTGAAAGGAACAATCATAGC